AGTACCCTGTAGGAAACATGTGAACGTCCTGTAAGGGAAACAGAAAGGCAACCAACCATTTTTGACCAGAGTCCCCTATCTTCGACCCATTAGATAGGTGTCGTTTAGGTCAGTTTGATTGAACACCTCATGACGGTCTTTCCTATGTCGAAAGTACAGAACCTACCAAAATAGCATGAATGTGAATAGGACGCCCCTCAAAAGCGTTTCGTGGCCATGAATCCCACCTAAATGGAGTCCACCAAAGGGTCCCGAATCACAACTTATGCCCAACCGCTCGCTCTCGTTTTTTTCTTGAGAAAATAATATGCGCAGATCCTGGAAACCGTATTCGCCCATTTCAGCTGGAGGCTGGCTGATGGTGAAAATAGTACTTCCCAGTTGCCCAGTGGCATCTGGTTTTCCTTGTTTCGGGATTAGATCGATGTCCCTCAAAGTTCATTCCAGCCAAAACGGTGCCTTTTGTCTTGGCCACTGGACTTGCGAATCATGTACAGTTCGATGCTCGTTTGAGCAAGGTAATCTTCAGGGAATCGGCTCAAGGGTGGCGAGGAACATCGGCTTGGCAGTCCCCTAGCGGTTTCTTGCGGTACTGTCAGGCATTGATTTGGATAGAACTCCCGGTCAACTCACGTCAGATTCGGGAAGTTGCGGGGCTTCCCAGCAGAATCTGGGGAATTTTTTCTCAACCACTCGAACCGGAGATGCGTGCTGGCTTGAGCAGGCCCCATTGTTTCACAACTATCAAAGTCACCTAGGTGGTCAAAGGGAAACCCGAGTTTCCGACTACCCCAAAGTGGGTGGTTAAAGGGAAACCACCGATGCGCCAGTTTCTGCTTTTCACCCGGCGGTTTAGCAGCTCCAAGATGACTCGTCGACGACTCTGAGGCCACTTTCCTCTCTCGAACATGTACGAATCCCTGAGCTTCCTGGCGTGAGCTGCTGAGATCGGTGCGACATCGCCAGGGAATGAGTTGCAATGAACCCAGGCGCTGGTCCCCGCCAAAAAGGAAACCACGGGTTGGATGGTTTACAGGCTCCAAGGGTTTCCACCATTTAGCTACGTGAGCTATGGGTCTAGTTTACTTAGTTTGCCGGAGGGGATGAAGTGATTGGCGCAGGGAGCTTCAAAAGCTGGCAGGTGGGGTGTCACTGCCGTGACCCTCTACTTCACCGCCGAGGGCTAAGTGGAATCGAAGTAGCACTTGTTGAGAGACCTGGCAGGAGTATCGACAGTGGACAGTGATTTTGCATGACATATATCCCTGCGCTGTTTCGATCAGACATGCTGGTTCCTTGTTTGCGCTGGCAGATTCCGATACTTATTTACTCAGCGGAAGTCCCAACCCTCCCTGTTTTTGCAGTTCCCCCCTATCTAATTCAGTGGAGGTCTGCCATTTTTGGTGCTCCTTTCGGCCCTACTTGGATGGTCTGGGAGTTAGCTAAGTGGTTAGTAACCCTGGACGTAGCCCACTTCTGGTTGTAAGTCGCCTGAAACCAGGGTTACTAAACATTTAGCTAAGTCCCAGACCAGCGAAGTAGATTTCTACGAGCACATCCTTGCGAGGCTACGCAGAACAGCGAGGCTCAAGAGCTCAGCGCCTTCGACAATGGCAAGAAATCCCAGGCGCAGTGTCGGACGGTGCCTTCGGCCCCAGACATCGCATCCCTCGGTGACTCGCCGGTAGTAGGTAGGTGACCCTTGGGTTTTCGTTCCAAGGTCTTTGCATGGCTTCCCTTGGTTACGTACTTCTAACCGATAGTAGGAGGTGTTTTTCCGAAAATAATGAGACTTGTAGCAGATGCCCATTAGAAGGTTTCCGATGAAGACACCGGCAAAGCCACCATTTGGGAACCTTTGGGTTTTCGTTCTAAGGTCTTTGCATGGCTTCCCTTGGTTACCTACTTCTAACCGATAGTAGGAGGTGTTTTCCGAAAATAATGAGACTTGTAGCAGATGCCCATTAGAAGGTTTCCGATGAAGACACCGGCAAAGCCACCATTTGGGAACCTTTGGGTTTTCGTTCTAAGGTCTTTGCATGGCTTCCCTTGGTTACCTACTTCTAACCGATAGTAGGAGGTGTTTTTCCGAAAATAATGAGACTTGTAGCAGATGCCCATTAGAAGGTTTCCGATGAAGACACCGGCAAAGCCACCATTTGGGAACCTTTGGGTTTTCGTTCTAAGGTCTTTGCATGGCTTCCCTTGGTTACCTACTTCTAACCGATAGTAGGAGGTGTTTTTCCGAAAATAATGAGACTTGTAGCAGATGCGATGAAGACACCGGCAACGCCACCAAAGGTCTTTGCATGGCTTCCCTTGGTTACCTACTTCTAACCGATAGTAGGAGGTGTTTTTCCGAAAATAATGAGACTTGTAGCAGATGCCCATTAGAAGGTTTCCGATGAAGACACCGGCAAAGCCACCATTTGGGAACCTTTGGGTTTTCGTTCTAAGGTCTTTGCATGGCTTCCCTTGGTTACCTACTTCTAACCGATAGTAGGAGGTGTTTTTTCCGAAAATTTTGAGACTTGTAGCAGATGCCCATTAGAAGGTTTCCGATGAAGACACCGGCAAAGCCACCATTTGGGAACCTTTGGGTTTTCGTTCTAAGGTCTTTGCATGGCTTTCCTTGGTTACCTACTTCTAACCGATAGTAGGAGGTGTTTTTGTTTTTCCGAAAATAATGAGACTTGTAGCAGATGCCATTAGAAGGTGTCCGATGAAAACACCGGCAAAGCCACCATTTGGGAACCTTTGGGTTTTCGTTCTAAGGTCTTTGCATGGCTTCCCTTGGTTACCTACTTCTAACCGATCTTAGTAGGAGGTGTTTTTTCCGAAAATAGTGAGACTTGTAGCAGATGCCCATTAGAAGGTTTCCGATGAAGACACCGGCAAAGCCACCATTTGGGAACCTTTGGGTTTTCGTTCTAAGGTCTTTGCATGGCTTCCCTTGGTTACCTACTTCTAACCGATAGTAGGAGGTGTTTTTCCGAAAATAATGAGACTTGTAACAGATGCCCATTAGAAGGTGTCCGATGAAGACACCGGCAAAGCCACCATTTGGTAACCCTTCGATTTGCGTTCCAAGGTCTTTGCATGGCTCCCCTGAAATACCTACTTCTAACCGATTGTAGGAGGAGTGTTTTTTCTTCAAAGAATGAGACTTGTAACAGATGCCCATCATTTGTTAACCCTTGGGTGTTTATTCCAAGGTCTTTGCATGGCTTCCCTTGGTTACCTACTTCTAACCGATAGTAGGATGTGTTTTTCCCAAAAGAATGAGACTTGTAACAGATGCCCATTAGATGGTTTCCGATGAATACACCGGCAAAGCCACCATTTGGTAACCCTTGGGTTTTTGTTCCAAGTTCTTTGCATGGCTTCCCTTGGTTACCTACTCCCAACCCATAGTAGGATGTGTTTTTATGTTCTTTCTTTTTTCGCAAAATAATGAGATGTGTAACAGATGTCCATTAGAAGGTTTGCGATGAAGACACCGGCAAAGCCACCATTTGGCAACCCTTGGGTTTTCGTTCCAAGGTCTTTGCATGGCTTCTCTTGGTTGCCTACTTCTAACCGATAGTAGGAGGTGTTTTTTTTTCCCAACAGAATGAGACTTGTAGCAGATGCCCATTAGAAGGTTTCCGATGAAGACAGCGGCAAAGCCACCATTTGGTAACCCTTGGGTGTTCGTTCCAAGGTCTTTGCATGGCTTCCCTTGGTTGCCTACTTCTAACCGATAGTAGGAGGTGTTTTTTTTCCCAACAGAATGAGACTTGTAACAGATGCCCATTAGAAGGTTTGCGATGAAGACACCGGCAAAGCCACCATTTGGTAACCTTTGTGTTTTCGTTCTAAGGTCTTTGCATGGCTTCCCTTGGTTACCTACTTCTAACCGATAGTAGGAGGTGTTTTTTCCCCAACAGAATGAGACTTGTAACAGATGCCCATTAGAAGGTTTCCCATGAAGACACCCCTTGGGTTTTCGTTCCAAGGTCTTTGCATGGCTTTCCTTGGTTACCTACTTCTAACCGATAGTAGGAGGTGTTTTTTCCGAAAACAATGAGACTTGTAGCAGATGCCCATTAGAAGGTGTCCGATGAAAACACCGGCAAAGCCACCATTTGGTAACCCTTGGGTTTTCGTTCCAAGGTCTTTGCATGGCTTCCCTTGGTTACCTACTTCTAACCGATAGTAGGAGGTGTTTTTTTCCGAAAATAATGAGACTTGTAACAGATGCCCATTAGAAGGTTTCCGATCAAGACAGCGGCAAAGCCACGATTTGGTAACCCTTGGGTTTTCGTTCTAAGGTCCGTGCATGGCTTCTCTTGGTTAGCTACTCCTAACCGATAATAGGAGGTGTTTGCCCAAAAGAATGAGACTTGTAGCAGATGCCCATTAGAAGGTTTCCGATGACGACACCGGCAAAGCCACCATTTGGTAACCCTTGGGTTTTCGTTCCAAGGTCTTTGCATGGCTTCCCTTGGTTACCTACTTCTAACCGATAGTAGGAGGTGTTTTTTCCCCAACAGAATGAGACTTGTAACAGATGCCCATTAGAAGGTTTCCGATCAAGACAGCGGCAAAGCCACCATTTGGTAACCCTTGGGTTTTCGTTCCAAGGTCTTTGCATGGCTTCCCTTGGTTACCTACTCCTAACCGATAGTAGGAGGTGTTTTCCCAAATTAATGAGACTTGTAGCAGATGCCCATTAGCAATTTCCGATGAAGACACCGGCAAAGCCACCATTTGGTAACCCTTGGGTTTTTGTTTCAAGGTCTTTGCATGGCTTCCCTTGGTTACCTGCTGGCAACTGGAGGCACTGACTTACATTGACATCACAGGGTCCATTTTCTAGAGAATGGTCTCCTGGGAGTCAGGTTCCATATTGAATGAGAGAGTACCGGCGTATCGCTTTTGGGTGGGCACCTTATGAAGTATCGGTTTTGCAAGTTGGCGGGTATCAGTTCTGGGTAGCCCCCTATTGCTTTCTGGCGGTATTGTAGGATGTAGGTTACTGGAGTGCTGCAAATGTTGCAGCATCGAAGGTTTGCCATATAATATAAGTTGACAGTCACAATGACACATTGCAAACCTTCAATGCTGATAGCAAATGAGAAACGGTATTCTAAACCTTCATTGTAGCCCGAAATGTGATTTGCTAAAAGCAAGCGTACCAAAGAGCAGCTTGTGAGTCTGCGAATCACGCACTGGAGATCCCGGCAACAAATTGAGTGAAAGCGTCGATGCACGCGGGAAAACGCCAGAGATTCAGCAGGAAAACGCTTGAGCTACTGTCAAGGTTGTTTACTTGACATGCGCTCTCCGGATTTCCCAGCTGAATGCGGATCCCTAGTTGTGTTGCTTGCATCAGTGTCACAATGAGTCAGCCATCTTTTGCGGGTACTCTCCCAACCAAAGGGAATACCTGCAATGTTTTTGTTTGGTCTCCCTACACTGTTTGGCTATTCGGAAGCCTGAGTCGCTTGCCACATGTTTGTTTGGCGAAACCGAACGCCCGAGTGCTAGGCCAAGAACGTCACCAGTGATATCGCCGTGCCCTGTCTGAACTTTCGCTTGGCCACTTTGGAAGCCAATCACCTTGCTTCAAAAGCCGCAGGAGATGTTCAGTCATGTCAGGCATGTGGGCGTGCCATGTTTGAGAGTCCCATTTTGCCTGGTTTTTTAAGGGACACGAACATTTAGGGGGTTCGCTATTTTGACACTTACCCATATAGGGGATGCTTTTTTTGAGCCTCGGTACCCTTTTGCGGTTGGTTTTGAAAGGAATGCAAAAGGATTCTAACCATTTGTGGGGTACCCTTTATTTGAGACATACCCACATGGGGGTGTCTAAAACAAGAAAAACATGTACCCTTTTGTAAAAGGACACTAACCATTTTCGGGGGTACCCTTTGAGACACACCCACATATTTTCCATTGGCAAGTGATGGTTCCTCGCCTCTGGTCTGATCGCTTGAGGCGGTCTGGGCATCTCCCGTGGCCCTGGGCATCGTTGCCTTCGCGCAGTTCTCCTTGCCGAAGGCGCTGCCGAAGGTTCCGCTGGAATGTAGATGGCAGAATATCTTGTCGCTGGAACCCTAGAGGAAGCCCATTATTTTGGGTCCCCTAAGAAAAGACACCCAAATGAAGACCTCCCTTGGTGATGTTAGACGACCACGATAGGGTTCCACTGAAACAAACACAGAACCATAACTCATATGGGTGATGCTGTTTTTTCAAAATGATAGACCCCGGTTGGTGGTAGTTAAAGGGCACGAGGACTCCCTTGCCAATTTTCTCGGACGTGGCTAAGGAGGGGTTTCCCTGTAGTGGATTTTGGATTTTGGTGGTTTGGATTTGGACTTGGACGCCTTCTTTGAGAGGAAAGGGGAAACCAATCTAAGCTTCCCTCTTGTGGTTTGGATTGTTTGGTGGGGTCGACCCAATTCCTCTCTACAAAAGCCAGGGGTTCAATTCCCCAACGCTTTCAGCTTCCTTGTTTGGTGGCTTTGGATTTTGGTGGTTTGAACAGTTGAACCCCCGCTTCTTGTGGAGAGCAAAATCCAAAAACCACCAAAACCCAACAACCACCAAATCCCAAAAGCCACCAAACTTCCAACAGCACCAAACAAGGGGAAGCCGTTTGGGCGGAATTCGAGCGGTTCGCGATCCCGCTTCAGGCGCTGCAGAAGGCCTCCGCCTTGGTGCCGGCCCTGCAGCCAGGCACTCAGAAAGGGTTTTGGGGAGGGCTCGGTAGGTTTTGGGAGTTGGTACCTGTTTTTGTCGTGGTCTTACTGAGGTCATTATTTTGACTGTTTCTGGGGGTTATCAAAGTCAGAAAATGTGGTGGTTTCCCTTTAGCCCACCACTTAGGGGGTGACTTTGATCATGGTAACAGAATGAGGCCAGTCTTAAAGGGAAACCAAAAGGAGAACCACCATTTTTTGTTGTTCTTTTGCTTTGGGGGGGGAGAGCCCCCGAAACAAAAGAGGCACACCCAAAGGGACCCTTCAAGGGGAAGTGGATCGTCTGAGTGTCGCGCGGATGCTTTGTTCCTTTTTAGGAGCAAGGGTTTTGGCACCCGAGATTGCATGTATTTGTCCGAAGGGAATCCAAAGGCGGATGAAGGTTTCATTTTTCTTGGGCCGATTTCGAGCTCTTTTAATAACTGCTTTTCTCCATTTCCCAACCCCCAAGAGCTGTCCAGGGAGTGGTAAAAGTAGTGGATTTCTTTTGGCCCACCTTGACCATCCGGAAGAGATCCAGTTTGAAGTACCCAGACCTGCGGTGCTTGTTCGTCCTTTTTTGTGGGATGGGGTTGTGTCAGATCAAGCAGAACAAGGGCGCCCTTTCATGCCGAACAAGGCTGGGACAACGGTTCCTCACATGGAGCCCACTAGGGCCTAAGACGCCGCAAGTTGGCGAGGTATGGCAAGGGGCAGGGTATTTGGAAGTGATGCAGTTGGTTTTGCACGGCCCAAAGCCTGAGCTGACTTTGCGTTCCAGAGCCAACATGGCCTAACAAGGTTTGTCAGGGGAGGTTTGTTGTTTCAATCACCGCGTATAGCTGGTTGCACATGAGCAAGGTACATATTTATGACATTCTTTGCTGGCGGTTTAGGGAGGACATGGCGAACAAGCCAAATGTGCCACAAAACCGGCTCACAATCTAACTTGCTCATTTGCCTCCGGGGCTTGGTTAATCAAACCAATGAAGTTACTTCCCTGTAGGCTATGGAGCCAAACAAATCACAGAGAGGAATCTCATTTCGAGAGACGCTCCCACATGGAACTTGACAAGGAAATGGTCCCCTCAAAGGAGAAAAATGATCGTCCAAGTGGGAGGCTCTCTCAGATGCTATGTTACTAGCAGGAATGGTTCCACATATTCTGTGTTAACACTGACTGCCACTGTTATCCTCTTTGCAACACTAGTGGAAGTCGACAATTCTGTTGAAAGGGTCCCGTGTCCACGTCCATGATCGTTGTGAAGATGGCACTTAAACCAATGAAGACAATCATATACCACTGTGGTGACTATGTGAAGGAGTGAGGATGCCTATGGAATGGCCGATGCCTGGACCTTCATGCACGCCCGTCTCTATCTGAGGTCCAACTGGCTGGTGATGCATGTCTCCGTGGCCGGCCTAGTTCAGATGTATCTTTGGCAGCTCAAGGGTATCTTTCCACGCACCGAGTGCTCCGCGAAAATGATGGCTCGCTGCGACGGTCAAACCACCAGTTTCTTGGGGTTGGTGGTGGTCATCCAACCCGCTGACCATCACAAGTCTCAGGGAGCCATAGCCATGGAACATGTGAGGTCGTCATGTGCTCCTATGCGACCCTGCTCTTTGGATCTGTGCTGTGCCTGGACCCTGGAGTCCAGGAGATTCCAAGCTTCCGTGTCAGCGCGCCGGAAATGACCCCGTTGCTGGAAGTTTGAACATCGAAGTATCACCCAAAAAAAAAGAAGCTCCCCCCCCCCCCAAAGAGAAAAGTGGGCGGTCGATTCTCGCCCGCGAAACCAACGGGGGGGGGGGATGCCCCGAGCTTCAGGCATGGCGGTGCTGGCTCTGAGTCAGCCAAAAGATAGCCCGATCACGGCCATCCGCGAGGCCAAACAATTCGTCTCAGGGGAGGGGCCTCAAGTCAACTTGACCCCAAAGAAGCGGTTTGAAGTGCCGAGCATTGGCACCATAAACACTTCTTCTCATGTTGGGTTTGTTTTTATTTTCTCCCCAACCCCCCCCCCAAAAAAAAAACAAAGACAAGAAAGAAAGACAAACCGCAAACAAACGTGTAAAACAGTAAAATGGTGGTGGTTGTCCTTTTGGTTTTTCTTCAAGCCAACCCTAAAAAAGGCAGACGCATTTGTGAGCTAAAGCGTGGCAGTGTGTGAAAGCCAGGAACCTGAAACGGGCGCCGAGTTGAGTGTGTACTTGCGCGAGTTGAGTCTGTCGCAGTGGGCTGGAGGGGTTCCTGATGCACAGTGACCCCATTTCCCTGGAAGAGTTTTTGGGCTATGGGCAATTGCAGACAGGCTCTTCTGCCGGCGCTCCAGACCGTCGCGAACGGATTGCAGTGATCCTCTCAGACTCTTTCGCAGTTCCGACTGGCAAGAGTTCGGGGCGCATGATGTTTAGTAGAATAAGCCTGCTGGTGCTCAGGGAATGTAGGAATGAACCCACGGATTCCCGAGTAAAGGAACTTGTGGGATAAGATGATAATATTTACAGGGGTCCTTCCATTTCTCATTCTCTGCCTATCAAGTAAGAAACCTGTGAGGCCGCAACCTCAGCCAGCTGTCGCGGCCGGGCAAGCCGGGGTGGCAAGCGGCCTGACATCCCGTGTCACACTGATTTTGGGCGTGAATTTTCATCAGGGACCTTTTGGGCTGCTGCGGCTGTTGTCGCTGTTGCTGCGGTGCTTTTGCTGCCGCTGCTGCTGCCGCCGCTGCTGTTGTGGACAAAGAGGTTTTGGAAGACGAATGTCATCCAAAAGAAGCCACCGTGGTTGTTGGAAAGAGGGCAACAGTGCCAGTGCTGTACAAGGCTGTTTTAGTGGCTATCTAAAGTTCCATCATGGGGAAGCACTGAGATCCAACGGTTTGACACAGTTGCAAAGCTAACGGGGTGTTGTTCCCCCAAAGTGAAGGTGGCCCCCTCACATGAGGTGGCCTGCGATGTTCGGTCCCTCCCGAAGGCGGCAATGACCGGCACCAGCGGCCTTGATGCGGGCAACACGGCGGCCCCCCGCTCCGAGGCCGCGAATGGATCGCAAAGAGACCTTGATTCAGGCTGACGCCTGATGAATAACAGCATATAAAAGCACACCCCACTTTTTGAGGGGCCCTGTCAGCGGCGATTCCTCTCTTGTAGGGAGAACCCCGCGGATGGGTATTCATCAGTCAATCAGGGGTCAACAGAGTAATTACAGGGTTTTGGAACTGTAGCATGCGCGGATGCGTTTCCCGGTGGCTTAGGGAATTCTTAAATTGAATATTGTAAGAGCTTCCCACTACATTGACCCACATGGGTGTTGACCATTGCCCATGAGTCTCAATGGGAACACCCTCAAAACTGGGTGGACGCGGTGGACGTAGATCTTAGCATGTTTTTTGATGTACACAAAAGGAATCCCCAATGAAATTGGTCACCCGCGCCTCCCCCATGCGCAGGTCCCGACCCAGGGCAAGAGACAGGTTGCAGTGGCCAGCACCGGCAATGCAGGAGCCTCAGAGACAGCGTTGCTTGTCCCCCAGTGGATTCCACCATTGCGCTCTTTTGCCACTCTGGGGAATCCACAGGTGCACTCGGCATCTAAAAGTTTGGAACAGACCCTAGAACTTGACCCTGAATGCACCTGATACGCCCCAGGTGACTGTTGAGTTCTCTTCCTCGTCCGGTGCTGCAGTTTTGTCGGAGGCAGTGAAGGGGAGCATGCGTCGCACACAGGGAGGGAGGGCGGTTGTTTTGTCCAGTTGCGTGTTACTTCTCAGGCTGTTTTAGTCTTAGACGCGGGAGTTCGTTCTTGCATGGCAGGATGACCAGCTTGCCATCACACTTGATGATCTTGCCTACAGATCTCTTCTTCTTGGCTTCGGCTTTCTGTCTCAGCCTTAGTTTTGAGGGATGAATCGACTTTGAGGATTCAAGGCTTCCCAAAAAGTGGAGAGGATACCGTGGATGGACGAGTTCCTGCACCACTTTGACTCCATGGGAAGCATTGTTGGTTGGTATTTTTAGACTCATCATTCCAGGGATTCTTAGGTGGCGCGAAATGGATTTGTATCCATCCACAGTATCAATCAACCAGGGATTGATTCCTTCCGGATTTCCGTGACACGGCGCACAGCTCAGCCTGGCCTTTGCTCCGAGGACCATCGGCATTGTGTCGGGCGCGGTCTGGGCCAACGAAGCTTGGGGCAACTACTGGAGCTGGGATCCGAAGGAGACGATCCAAGGGGCGGGCGATGTTCGCTTGCTGTTGCTGTCAAGTTCTGTATATTGAAATATATTGAAGATTGAGATATGTCTCTGGCAATGTTACTGCTGCTTCTCTTGTCACTATTGCCGTTGCAGTTGCTGTTGCTTTTAGTGCTGTGTAAGGCGTGCGAAACGCACTCTCACGGCATCATCGGACAAACAGAAAGAGTCACCCACCCGGGACTGACTACGCCACGCCCATCATGAGAGATGCATCAAAACCGGGAATGAGGATAGTCTCAAGAGGGAACCACTTCCTCCATGTTGGGTCCAGGTTCCAAAAGGTTGGATGTTTGATTTGCCAAGTCAGAGTGGCTTGAGCTATCTCGCTGAGAGGAGACTTGGGCATTGATCACCTGGCTCGTCTACGCTGGATATTTGCACACCAGGCGGAAGGTTCCTGCTGGAAGGTTCCCGCAGTTTGACTTGTTGTGCTTGTTTCTTTTCCATTTTAGCCCTTTTTTCCCGGTGGACCCTTTGAAGCCTCAAATTCAATTTGTTGTGTCTGCTGCTCTTGTTGGGAGACGTGGATGTGGCACAGGCTGCAGCTCGGCTGGGACACCCGAGAGAGCGCCAAGATCGGCGCTTTTGGGTTTCTGGCCCGGGCCCAACCCGGAGAGTCGGAGTCGGTTTGATCCAAACCAGGGGACCGACAGCTATGTATTTGAAATGGTTGATTGGGGGGAGGGGAGGGGATTTCGAGCCTCGGAACTCGATTTATATGGTTCTGTGGAAGACTGGGTAACTTGGACTGGTTTCAAAACAGAGAAGCCAGTATTCTGGAAAGCTTCCAGATGTGCACAGACAACCGTGGTGCCTGTCCAAAACGAGACAAGAAAACCAAATGGCCACAACCGGTTTGCACAACTTCATTATCCAAGGGTGTTAAGCTTGTTTTGGAATGCGTTTGGATGAATCCCCAAAAGCTACCAGTTTGGAGTTATGTTTATCATGTTTTGGAATGCTGCTTCATTCCCAAAGTTGACTCGCGCTCATGTTGTCAATCCCAAAGATCAAGATCCCAGCCTGAGGTGGTTTGGGTTTGCTACATTGGCGCCGCAGACTTAGCTATGTCCAAAATGGATGCAGGCACCCGCTGGATGCAAGCCGCAAACTGAATACTCACAGGCCTCGGAGGGCCATTGTGTTTTTCGTTTTTTTTTTTTAAGGATTGTTTTTTTGTTTTCCAGGGTGGGTGGCTTTTGGGCTTTTTGGCTTTTGTGGTTTTTACGTGGGTTTTTGTGGCTTTTGTGGATTTTCATGTCGCATCCTTTGCATTCACAGTTCCTCTCTTTTGGCATCCTCTGCATTGCCAGTTCCGCTGCGGCAGGTGGCTTTTTGGCTTTGTGGCTTTTCTTTGGCTTTTCGCATCCTTTGCTTTCCCAGTTGGTTTTTCGCCTCTCTGGTGCCCGACGGCTACTTTTTAGATTCTTTGCCCCTAATTTTTCGATCATCATGGGGGGGGGGCTGCCGCCCCCCCCAACCCCCTCGCTGCTTTGTTATATTCTTTTTGGCCCTAATTGAATCGTCACGTTTTCAATCATCCTCGGGGGGGCTGCCGCCCCCCCCCAACCACCCCATTATTTTTTAGACTTTTTGCCCCTAATTGAATCGTCACTTTTTCGATCATCATGGGGGGGGGCTGCCGCCCCCCCAACCGCCCCGCTGCTTTGTTATATATTTTTGCCCTAATTGAATCGTCACTTTTTCAATCATCATTGGGGAGGGCTGCCGCCCACCCCAACCACCCCGCGCCTTTCATTGAATCATCACTTGTTCAATCATCAGGGGCTGCTGCCCCCCCCCCCAACCCCCCCGCTGCCTTTTTAGTTTTTGTTTGCCCCTAATTGAATCATCACTTTTTCCATCATCGTCACTTTTTCGATCATCATGGGGGCCCAACCCCCTCCGCCTTTCTTCTTTTTGGCCCTAATTGAATCGTCACTTTTTCAATCATCATGGGGGGGGGGCTGCCGCCCCCCCCCCCCAATCCCCCCGCTATTTTTTTAGACTTTTTGCCCCTAATTGAATCGTCACTTTTTCGATCATCATGGGGGGGGCCTGGTGTGGGTGGGTGGTGGTTGGGGTGGGTGGGGTGGGTTGGGGGGGGGGGGTGGGGGGGTGGGTGGGGTGGGGTGGGTGGGGGTGGGGTGGGGTGGTGGGTGGGGTGGGGTGGGGTGGGGTGGGGTGGGGTGGGGTGGTGGGGTGGGGTGGGGTGGGGTGGGGTGGGGTGGGGTGGGGTGGGGTGGGGTGGGGTGGGGTGGGGTGGGGTGGGGTGGGGTGGGGTGGGGTGGGGTGGGGTGGGGTGGGGTGGGGTGGGGTGGGGTGGGGTGGGGTGGGGTGGGGTGGGGTGGGGTGGGGTGGGGTGGGGCGGGGTGGGGTGGGGTGGGGTGGGGTGGGGTGGGGTGGGGTGGGGTGGGGTGGGGTGGGGTGGCGTGGGGGTGGGGGTGGGGGTGGGGGTGGGGGTGGGGGTGGGGGTGGGGGTGGGGTGGGGTGGGGTGGGGTGGCTGCCCCCCAACCTTCACGGCTGCCTTTTTGTTTTTTTTGCCCCCAATTGAATCATCACTTTTTGATCACCATGAGGGCTGCCTCCCCGCAACCCCCCCCGCTACTGTTTAAATGCCCCCCTAATTGAATCATCACTTATTCAATCATTATAGGGGGGTCTACGTTTCAGGTGTTTTGCTGTAATTTATCTTGCGAAATGTATGTGTTTTACGCTAGTCCGTAAACATCATCAGCATCGTTTTCAACATCCCCCGCATGTCCAGCCAACATCCCCAGCATCACCAGCAAATCGAGGGCCTTGGCTTCCTGAATCTTCAGTTCCTCTGCCATAGTAAAAGTGAGCATTCTACTCCCTGTATTTTTGTAGCCAGGACGGAAAACAAAAAATCCAAAAATAAAACAAAAAAATCACAGAACCACCCAGCTGGTGCGAAGTGCATTGTGTCCATCAGTACACCTAGTTGCTTGCATTCACTGATATTTGCGGAGAGGTTGAAGAATCTTGGGCTGAGGTGAATCTGATGGGCATCGGCTTGCACTCGTACGGATTTTTCCTCAAGTGAGTCGAATCAAATGGGCGGAGCGGGCAGCCATCCCGGGTAGGGGACCAGGTCACTTTGCTGCCTAAACTCGAGCGCCCGTTCAGCCAAAGATGGCCTGCGCGGCGCGCCGGCACGGGAGCCTCTACCCTCCTACCAACAATCATAGCCCAAAAGGAAAGCATTGCAGAACCCTGATGTCAGCTTCCATGATTGTTTGTGGGAGGGAAGGCCCAGTGAGGCAACGTTCTTGTAGAATCTTACAGCTTGAGAGTTGTCGTTGTTTGAGTTTGTGCACACGCCAACCCGCCTGGCTCTCAAGACCTAGCTGAAGCAATCTGGGCGATAGCAGATCTGAAGATTCAGTGGCCATTGTGAACCCACATATGGGTGTGCTAGCCAAAATAGGGGGGACCCAAAAAAATCATAGTTGTGGGTTTCCCATGTATTCCAACCAAGGTTTATCTAAAAAACACAACTCCATAATTCCATATGGATTCGTGTGACTCGGAAGTTATCAAACATTGTCACGCAGCGTTTGCCCAATGACGCTGCTGACATGGGCCCGGCGCATAGCATCGCTTGAAAGCCCGGCGGGGCTCGGCCACCGGGAACTATCGCGCCTGCGTTCAAACCAAGGAATCCTGCCAAACGGTTGGTTTCAAGTTGAAAGCAGTCTCCAAAACGTGCCAGGTATTCGAACACACACACACACACACACACACACGCAAAGGCGCAAAGACAAGCAAGCGCAATCAAGTAAACAGAACAACCAACTAGCCACACAGACGAACGACCAAGTCGAGCCAAACCAAAGCAATCCAACCAACCAGCCAGGCAGCCAGCCAGCCAACCAACCAACCAGCCAACCAGCCAACCAACTAACCAGCCAGCGAACCAACTAACTGGCGGACTGATTAAGTAACAAACTAACTAGTCAAATAGTTAAGAAAGCAATGGAGGAACTTAATTTATAAACCCGCCCCCCCCCCCCTCAACGTCGACAAGGTTTGGGAAAATCAGATTTTGGGGGTTCCCCTAAGGCCTCCCTAATAATTGATCTGCAGGACTTGAGGCTTGAGAAGCTTGAGGATTGAGGGTTGGAGGCTTGAGGTTTCTGATCAGCTGCCAGGCTCTCCGGTCCTTTTTGTGGACCCCTGCTTTGCCAATTGGACTGCAATAGGAAATTGCATTCTCTTATTTTCCAGGGCTGGAGAGGGACTTGATTAATCAGCGGGGGTTTTGTGTTATTCGGGGGGGGGCTAGCCTTGAATGGGGGTACCCTTTGCGAGCTTGTCAAACCTTGTTTTTTAAACAAAATGTAATAATATATTTGCTGTTTCCGGCTAGCCGTTTTTTATTTATTTCTGGAATGGCAACCGTTGAGAATATGAAAGGAGTTGGTCTTGGCAAAAGTATTGGCAATAGCTTTGGCAATTTAAAATGTATTTGTTTGTGTTTCTTTTCCGGAATTTTGGGCCGGACAAGGACGTCTTTAATCAGGGGGGGGTGTTGGAGGTGCCCACAAAAAAATAAGGTGTGTTTCTTGGCCAAACCTTGTGGGTGCCTTTAAAGTAGTATTGCCTGGAAATGGTCTGGGGAAACCGGACGTCTTTAATCAGGGCGGCTTTATTAATCATGTTCCATTAACAGTCAACAAACAAAAAACAAGCACATAAAAGCAGACAAGCAATCAAGCAAACAAACAAACAAGCAAACAAACTATCCAACCAACCAGCTAGAACGAACCAACCAACAGAACAGTCCAGACCAGACAAGGCAAACATTCGACCACACACACATGCACTCGCATGCACTCACACACCCACCCACCCTCCCAGCCACCCGCCCACCCACCCGCCCACCCACCCACCCACCCACCCACCCACCCACCCACCCACCCACCCACCCACCCACCCACCCACCCACCCACCCACCCACCCACCCCCCACCCACCCACCCACCCACCCACCCACCCACCCACCCACCCACCCACCCACCCACCCACCCACCCACCCACCCACGCGCCATGTTGAGACGTGTTTAATGCCTTTTGCTGCACAATTCCTTGCTGTTCATTGCCCCTTGTCGCCAATTAGCAGTCGGCAGCTTGAGTATGTGCTTCATCACGGGAGCATGAAGGGCTATTGGATGGCGCAAAGTCCAATGATCACGCTGCCGTCTGAGAACCTGAGCCTGAACGGGAACAACTGCCAGCCTTCACGGCACAGGTCTGGGGCTCAAGATTGGCAGAGGGTTTGTTTTATATAATTAATAGGCTCTCCGGATAAGTAGGGGATGGAAATGAGAGCCTGCCACGGGATCTTTGTAGCCACTCTTGGCCCTGCGCAAGCCAAGTTTTCCACACGGCCCGACCGCAGGATGTGCAGGATGCCTACGAGCAGTGGGAGGCCTTTTCATGAGTGGGCGGTGCATTTGACTCCAGTTAGCTTCCATGACCTTTTTTTTGTTCTCACTTTGAATGACCCTTCCGGCCATAGATGCATCCCTCAAAATCTTGGTGGGGATATGTTTTTTTCCTATTGAGAAGCCAGATGATGAAGCTCAGCAGGTGGTCGCAAGATGCGACTTCTGGTGGAAGACACCAAGCCACCATTTCACGCCAGACTAAACCCCGCGATGACAAGATCCAGTTTCTCCTTTCCATCCCCATGCAGAAGGACCCAGATGAGCCGTATGGAACGCGGCTTGTGCAATTCAAGCATTATTTGTTTCTGTTGAACGTCTACCTTTCCCGAGGATAGCTACCTCAAGAAGAACGAGGCAGCCATGCGGGCCATCCTGGTCAAGGCTCCCATCTCATTCCTGCCGAATCCGCTGCCAATGGCTAAGCGAGGCAGAGACAGACCCGGATGAATGGGCCGCAGCCTTTGCGTGTGGCCACTCGCGCATGGCGGTTGTGAAAGCACGGTCAGGGTGCTCCAAATTGCGCTGAACCTCAAAGACCAAGCCACCAGGTGGACGATTGATCTTGAACCTCTTGTTTTCTCCCCTTCATTTGGGGTCGCTGTGGTCATGAACCATTTTCTAGGGTTTTGCGGATTCTGTAGCCTCCCATCCGGAAAAGAGCAAAAGAGTCTGTGATTACCCGAGAATCATTCGGGCCGCGACGACTTTATGGGGCTGGTTTGGACACGGGATTGCCATTTTCAGGGTCCAAATCCCTTTTGAGAGAAACCCATGTGAGAGATCTCCAAAAGAAGGCGAACCGTCCAAAACCGCTGTCTTCATTTGGGTGTCCCTTTAAACCAACCCGACAAACTTTGGGTAAGCCTCAAAAAGACGAGCCATTCGATGGAACGTGGGCGGTTTGCGAAAGGTCCAGCGCTTGGCATTACTCTTAGCCAGCCCCGAGCTGAGTCGAGAATTGTTCGGCTTCCCTTGGGCGGAAAGCCGGGAGCCGACTTTCAAGGAAAAGAGAAAACGCGGTTCCAACCTTTTTGAGTCAGTTCGCTATAGAGTTTGCCGGGTTGGTTTATGTTTTGCCAAGGTTCCACAAGTGAGTGTGTGATTGCCAGGTACTTTGGAAATCCGATTTGCAGCCTTGCAATGAATACACAGATCAGATCAAATTTTGTCCAAATGTCCAGTCGATGATCCGTTTGGGAGGGACATCCCACAATAAGGACAAAACCCTCTGATGTATACACTAGGTCCCCCAGTACCCTTTTACCCTTTTTTGGGGGAGGGTTCCCCTACTAAATAGACGACAGAAAAAGGGTACCCTTATTCTAACCTCTCTACTGGAGGACCTATTAGTACATGTCCACAAAAAATGTGCATGTTTGTCCCTGCCTCTTACATGCCCAGCGGCCCAACTGGAGGTTTCATCGGCACCACCACAGTGGCAAGCCCGCAGCCCAGGACACGAGAGATCGGCAGGATGGCGCCCAAAACTGCAGGAAGGGCCTTGATTGGAATGGCAGGGGCGTTTTTGGGGTGCTTTTAACGGGAAACCAAAGGAATGCAACCCTTTTGGGAGGTACCACTATTTTGAGACAAACTCAATGGAATCCAAAATGCGCAAAAAGAAAGCGCCAAGATCATGGGGCGTAACAATGTGTATGTGTGTGTGCGTGCTGGAATGTCAATTACTACCACTTGGTTTGACTTGTTTGACAGGCATGATTGTGTGGGTTTCTTTAATTGCCTGTGTATCCATTTTGGTAGAACATGGACTTCTTGGGCCTTGAAAATAGGCATTCAAGACATCTGAAACCAAGGGCACCCCTTCACAAAATCTAACCTGCGCCAGACTCTCACTTCCCATCAGCTTGGAGATTTGGCGATTGATTGCTGCCTTGTGCCCCGTTAGGCTCCGAAATCGACAAGCAGTTCATGTTTGCGCTCTCTCGCGAGGCGACAACATGTGCTTGCTCCCCTACAGTAAAGTAGAAATGAGTGGTCAGCAACATGATGCAGGGTTCATTTGCGTGAGGTCCTCCGGTTCAAGAGGATATATAGTGATGGCTTCGATGAATATTTGCTGGTAGGTCCTAAAGTCAGTTCTGCTGCGCATTGTGCAAAGCTAATTAGCGGCCCCTCATGCTACGTTTCATGCCTGCTTGATTTGGAAGATGAACCCACCAGGAATTTGAGCGTGTGTGTGTTTGTGTGTTTGTGTGTTTGTGTGTTTGTGTGTTTGTGTGTTTGTGTGTTTGTGTGTTTGTGTGTTTGTGTGTTTGTGTGTTTGTGTGTTTGTGTGTTTGTGTGTTTGTGTGTTTGTGTGTTTGTGTGTTTGTGTGTTTGTGTGTTTGTGTGTTTGTGTGTTTGTGTGTTTGTGTGTTTGTGTGTTTGTGTGTTTGTGTGTTTGTGTGTTTGTGTGTTTGTGTGTTTGTGTGTTTGTGTGTTTGTGTGTTTGTGTGTTTGTGTGTTTGTGTGTTTGTGTGTTGTGTGTGTTTGTGTGTTTGTGTGTTTGTGTGTTTGTGTGTTTGTGTGTTTGTGTGTTTGTGTGTTTGTGTGTTTGTGTGTTTGTGTGTTTGTGTGTTTGTGTGTTTGTGTGTTTGTGTGTTTGTGTTTGTGTGTGTGTTTGTGTGTTTGTGTGTTTGTGTGTTTGTGTGTTTGTGTGTTTGTGTGTTTGTGTGTTTGTG